ACTGGAGAGAAGCCTTACAAATGTCAAGAATGTGGCAAGGCCTTTAACGAGCGCTCATACCTTGATCAACATCACAGAATTCATACTGGAGAAAAGCCTTACATATGTCAAGAATGTGACAAGGCCTTTTCACAGAAGTCATTGCTTAGTAAACATCACCGAATTCATACTGGAGAGAAACCTTACAAATGCAAGGAATGTGGCAAGGCCTTTACACAGCGCTCAGTCCTTACTCGACATCACAGAGTTCATACTGGAGAGAAACCTTACAAATGTCAAGAATGTGACAAGGCCTTTAAGTGTCACTCAACCCTTAGTAATCATCTCAGATTTCATACTGGAGAGGAACCTTACAAATGTAAAGAATGTGGCAGGGCCTTTAACCAGCGTTCAGACCTTACTCGACATCACAGAGTTCATACTGGAGAGAGACCTTACAAATGTCAAGTATGTGGCAAGGCCTTTAAGTGTCACTCAAACCTTAGTAATCATCTCAGAATTCATACTGGAGAGAGACCTTACAAATGTCAAGAATGTGGCAAGGCCTTTCACCAGAGCTCATCGCTTACTGTACATCACAGAAATCATACTGGAGTAAAACCTTACAAATGTAAGGAATGTGGCAAGGCCTTTTCATTGCACTCAAACCTTCTTAAGCATCACAGAACTCATACTGGAGAGAAACCTTACAAATGCGAAGAATGTGGCAAGGCCTTTTACCGGCGCTCACATCTTAGCAAACATCATAGAAGTCATACTGGGAAGAAAGTTTAAAAATGTAAAGACTAGGAGTAAGGACTGTGAAACCCTTACATCACAGACCTTGCATCCAATATAACTGGAGAATAACTATACACATCTAAAGAAGTCCACTCTCTCTCCCTGAAACTCACAACATTGTAGTTATCATATGGGAGCAACATGGTAAAATGTGATGAATGTGGTGAGACCTTTAACTGGAATTCAGTCTATGCTCAGTGTCTCAAAATGCACACTAGATTCAAACCCTAGAAACATGATTGTGGAAAGACCCTCATTTTAATATACACGTTTGCAAACACAAAGTGCTAAAGAAGGTAAATTGAATCATACAAATAATTAGAAAACTCTCTGATTGAACATCTAATGTCAATAAATGTCACAGATATCAAGTAAAAGGAGTGTATCAGTCCCTCTATTCAGACAGTACTCGTTAGTCCAAGGAAAAAGTCAAGTTAAACACTTGGAAAGTGCATATGCTGTTACATTGGAAAGATTCAGTGGGGGAGTTTTTACAAGGGTACAATTAGTTTCGATGTGCTTTTTGTTATATTGAGCCTTTTTGAGGTTTGTGACCAACAAATATTAATGTACTTTATTCTCAAGTCACTTCTGGAGATTGACTTACACGTACTGGGTGTATGAATCTGTGAGCCTGATTTTTGCTCCGTCAATGGCATTCGATGCCCTGCTGCACTCGGGGGGACTCACGCATCCCAGATTTTCCTTGGAAGGTGAGAACTGTGTAAATCACAACATGAATGAAGAAAATCTAAATGCTTAGGGTTATAGCATTCATGTAAGTTGCCATGAAATAGGTGTTCAGAACAATATTTTTCTCCATTTCCTAAAATTAAAGAACTTCCTGAATATTAGACATGCAAGGTTTTCCTGATTGCTAAGGAAAAAAAGGTGGCGCACCAGTTAACTACTGATGTATCTTCGTAATAGCAATCTTGAGAGAATAGGAGTGGATGCGGTTGAAATGAAGAAATCCTCCCCGATAACAGAAGGAGGTCATCTAACTCTTCCCT